ATTGATCGTCGAGCAAACACAGTAGAGGCTATACACTGAACAAAAGTTCTAACCGATCACCCTGAGTTTTCGCTTATATATGAAAAAGAATAATACCAATAGATCTGACTTTTATTTAATTTCGAAGAGAATGAACACATTGAGAATAACAAAATTATAACTTTTTTTTATTTAAATAATACTTTATCGATATTTTTAAAAAATATTTTTATGAACAGCCAGTCACCTGTCTGACAGAGGCTCCAGCATTGACGTACACGATCCCGCATCGACATTCGTGCCATGTAATATGTTTTTTTTCACTTATATAGTTAACAAGGATTTATGCAGTGTAAAATTTCATACTCACCACGCTCTGCACGAACATTTCGTGCCAAAATGTTTAAACCGCGCCCTGTCTCCCGCGGTAGTGCATGGAACCGTATTAAATTATTTTTCATTCCACAAATCAGTAGCAAATGACACAAAAATCACCTCTGCAAAATTTTATATGGATCTATTGACCCATTATAAAATAATCAAAATTTAAAAAGTGAACGGTTAGAACTTTTGTTAAATGAATGGTGATTTTCCAGCTTTACTGGTGGATGAAGACCTCTGATACCCCTCTGTGCATTATTTCAGGCTCGAGCAGGCACTTGAGTAGAACTTCCGTAAGCTAGCTTAATATCTTCCTTAGGGGTATCGAAAGTTTCTGGCAAGATTTGAACCTATAGCGGTCAGGGAAAGCGGTTTGAAGTTAACGACCATAAACACTCACGGATGCCCATCATAAGTTACTAGTATTGAAATATTTAGTTCTCTTTTTGAATGACTTTATACAAATGGCTAGGTTAAGTAGAATATTTTTACTTGTTTAGTTCAACGTTACAGTTATTTTACTTAATGAGAGTGATACAGTCCTTTGTTGTCTCCTTGTTTTCTTACAAAGTGAAATTTTCGTCTTTTGATTAGCAACAATTGCTATGTCATTCCATGAAAAGCGGTGCATGCATAATCAACATGTAAAAGATTTTGTGTACCCTTAACGAGAAAACAAAGGGCGGAACTAAACAAAATGGAATATTGAAAGGGCATCACAAATTATGGAGCCAGCATAACACAGATAAGCTGTCAAAAAGCAAATTAAAAATGCAGGCAACATATTCAGGATGCTTAAACATTACTGATATTTTGTACATTATAGTTTTAGTTTTTGTTGTTGTTGTTTTTCATTCATTAAATAAAGGAATAAATTAAAGCCGTTATTAATGAAATTCAGTTTCCAATATATTCATATTGCATTTTAAACAAAATTGTTTATTTCTTTCAAAATTTCTAAATCTTCCTTCTTAAATCATTATATCGTATAATAAGAACATCTAAAACGTGAAAGGGCTATTCTGAATTTAGTATTTATTATACAATCAAGATACTTCTCTTTCCAAAAAATGCTTTTAATTAAACTATACTACCGAGTTTACTAGAATTATTAATTTCGGAAAACCATTGTTGATAATATTGATCATATACGTTGGATACCAGACTTAAGAAAATAGAATGGGGATAATCAAATAAATAAGAAAAAACCTAAGTCTTGTAAGAGACATTTTACATCATTGGTCCATGTATTTACAAACTGACTGTAACTATCTGTCATCATCATAAGTTTATACAAAAATGAATCTGGATTCTTAGCAGTTCTAAACCAAACCCTACAATGAAAGTTTATCTGAAGTAATTACACGTTTCTTGTCTAACTCCTTAAACTTGTTTCATAATATTTTTATGCACTTGCTCAAAATTTGGTGAATTATGAAAGCCCCATATTTCAGACACATAGTTAAGAATAATTTAAGCATTATCATAGAATAAAACAGTTTAATTTTTCATAAAATTTTTATGACAAGTTATCGAAAAGCGAGTTAAGTTTAAAGCCCTGAAGACTTGCTCAGACAAGATTTTTGTGCTCGATTAAAGCAACCGTCTGAGGAAATTTTAACACCCAAGTATTCATTTTTTTAACAATATTTTGTATTTTATCTTCATAAAGAAAGCATGATTGAAGGCATATTGCCCTTTTACATATCATTACAACAATCGCAACTACTCGGCCCTTTCCGTCAGTCTTCGGATAAGGACCTCGAACACAATAGTATGAATACAAAGAACGGATGCGGTATTTTGTTCTAACCTACGCTAAGAAACTAAACATGTAAACAAATAGTAATATAATGCTGGGAATTGTTTACAAGTTTATTTCCAATATATGTAGTAAAAGTTCATCTAAAATAAGTAATATCATAGGTACAAAAGCAAACAATTCGTTATTTATATATTTATTATTATGGTTGTAGAAACCGAAAGTACAAAAAACCAACCTGTTGACATTTCGTCGGATTTTTTTGTTTAAAATTGAACATCAGTGGGCATATTTAAATTACAAATTGTTGTCAGACATATTTTCAAGCAAAAGAGTACCGGAACAGGCATTAGATGTCAATTATATACATTCGTTTTACATTATGTCTGTTTATGTTTACATCTGAAACCACGTGGTAGAACTACTTTCAATCCGTATTGTTTCCGAGGTTAATATTATAGATAATAGCCGAGGCAGTTCCGAATGATCATTACAACTGACTTGTCGGGATTTACATTTTTCTCCCCTGTTTTGACCATTTAAATGTAGATTTTTCTAATTATACATGTAATCCTTCTTTTGTATATGAGAACAACACAGTGTCATCAGCAAACAGTAATAAAAATAATTTTAAATGTTCAATAGAGAAAATATAAATATTGTCATCGTATAAAAAGACATACATAATCATTATTGAGGTGTGAAATGTAAAATGTGACGAGATCTTTCAGATATACATGTAGTTAATTCTGTGCATTGGCCTGGGAAAGTCTCATTTGAAATACATATGTACACTTCAAAATTGTATGTTTGAAAATACCACTCAAATGATACTCCAACTTATTAAATAGATCTGGCAGCAAAAAGTTTGCTTTTATAAAATACTGAAATACCCCCATAGTGAACTTTGCAGGCAAAACATAATCAAAACCCAATAAGAACGCAATAAGAAGTCAACATATTGTTTGACATTGTAAAATAAGTGTCAGTCAAGAAACATTTGATTTCTTAGAAAGACATTCGTAGAAACAGACCTTCAACTAACTTATATAGTGAAGAGAAAACATGTCAGATATATCATTATGATAAGTAGTCATGATTGTTTAAATTAAAAGTGTTGATTAAAGGGTTAGGGTAAAGGATTAAAAGAGTCACTTGAATGGTGTTATATTTTCCAGCACTTTTAAGTGTTGAAAAGTCCGTACTTCTAAAATCGGTGCTAGGGGGCGTTAGTGATGTTGCATTTTTTTCGGAATCCGTTATAAACAGATTCAATTTAACAAAGTCTGTAATTTTAATGTAATTTTGTTGGGAACAATGCTTCCGATGGATTTTTTTTTTTTTTTTTTTTTTTTTTTTTAAAAAGACGTTTTTAAAAGTGACGATGTAAATTATAAATCTCTTACAGTTTTGTTACACACGCCTTCCATGATTTAAAATATAGTCATGATGTCAAAATAGTCATGTTATTACATGTAACAAATAACGGTTCATACCTTGAATATCTTGAAATTTGCTCTCTCAAAGCTAACAATATAATTTTTAAAAATGTGCTATCAATTTTTAATCAAACTAAGATATTCAATTTTGTTTTGACGTATCATCCATTCTTCACGAATCATCCATTCTGTTTTCGAGAGATACATTATGGATTTTTGGTCTTTTCTGAAACACTGTCATTTCATTTGATAAGTAAGATTCGTAGAAGAACATCAATAAAATTATCTTGAAATATCACCAGCTGTTGAATATAATAAGCTGTATTGCATTTTGCTTGTTCTTTTAATATAACCTGGTATATATTAGAGATCTAATTTCTAATCACTTATTTATATTATTTTAGAAAAGGCCAATATATTGTTTGCATTAGAAACTGACGCAACGTCGAAGAAAAATCAATCTCGATGTGCACAATTAACTTTATAAGATTCATGAAATACGTTATGGGTATGCTGTAAATCCTTTGTGTTCATTTAAAATATCTAATTTTATCTCCACCGTATTGGTGCTAAGAAGAAGATACAGATACCAATTGATTTTGATTCCATCAGCAAAAATCAAGCAAATAGTCATTAACTACAAAAGTCGTGTACATATATGATGCTTGTTTTATAGGATATTTGATTTATACATGTTAAATAGGTATGGAATGGGAAATAAAGCAGTGGATTATTACTCAAAACACAAACTTAAATCAAAAATAGATCCAACTTCTCAGTTCACAGTGATTAAAATATATATATTTTAATAACATGTATTTGTATCTATATTCATAACTTTATTCCGACTGGTTTCCGACAATACAACAGTAAAACAAAAAATGTTGCAACTTTGATCAAAAGCCACAACAAAAAGGTTTTAATTGGCTGTTAAATTCTGTATAATTTATTCATGTGACCTCTTTGAGAATTCACAGTATACTTTAATTTTCTGTCAGATAATAGACTATTAAACAATCTAAAGGGAAATTAGAATGAAAAGATATAGGAATATTTAAGTATGTGTTTACAGGTAAATCAATAAACAATGGAATATCACATTAGATCTTGAGGACCAAACACGCGATGTTTATGGAAAGTTCTATACTTGTCTACAAAAATGAACGTGGTGGAAGTCTGCCATTGTATAGTAATCAGCAATAAATTCATGGTCGTGATTTTCAGTATAATTAAAAAGTTTTGTTATAAGTATGGCCATACCTTGTCAGATAAAAATGAATGTTGTAACTTCTATACCAGTATATCTATTAATACAAGATTGAAAATATTTAAATTCCAATGTTGAGCTTGACCATCAATATATCCAAGAATATACAGCTTTGTGTAATTAAAATGTACCATTTAATCAAAGAAATTGAAATTGCCCCGTAGACATTGGTGAGAACTATACTCTATTATGTCATAGCAACGGAACGCTATAAGATATCACGCGCAACTTCAACAACAAATCAGAGTGTTTGTCTCCACAGAACCATAAAGTCGAGTGGAACAGAAGATTATATTTGCTCAAAATGGTAAGTTTTGTTTTAATCTACCAATTCCGATTGTTTTTATATGCTTATATGTGTTCCAATATAAGTGAGTAACTTAACTGAAGTTTGAATTCATCATTTAATTACCATAACAATAATAATATATATATATATATATAACAGAGTGAGCACTGATCTTTGGCTTTTTGACCCGTGAGGTTTTAATATGAGAAATTTTACATTTGTGCTTGTTTTGTTTTAATTTGTAGTGTTCCTTAGTTTAAATACATATATAACAATGTACCAGCATAGCTAATAGCTGAAATTGTATTTCTGGCTGCAGTTATAACCATCATACGTTCGTTTTACTTCTTAAAGCAGCATACTTTCAGATTCGTGCTAATTTCCATGAAATTCTTAAAAATGTTTCAAAGTAAATGTTGTCAAATTGTCAGGTAAACAAAGAAAGTAATTTATACATTGCAATCTACGAAAATTACCCAAAATAGTCTAGAATATGCAAAAATAGCCATTTTCTATGTTTGAAATATGGTGATAAATACTGCCAAGTCTGTCATTTTAACATACATGTAAATTATTTCTTGAAAAGTGAATATCTTTACTTTTCTTAAAATCTTAAATAGCACATTCTCTCAATGTTGATTTTCTTGAAAGACCTATCTGGAAGCGTGCAGCTTTAATGTATTATATATCTTGCTGCATAGTTAGGCGAAAGGGAAATCATAAATACAATATGTAGTTAAACTCTATTGTACACATTTCGCAAGTCCGTTCTTTGAAAGCATGATGTATTAAATTCAGATATTGCAATATATTTAGGTAGCAATTGTGTTCTTGTTTAAATCGATGTAATTAGTTGTGTTATTTAATAAAAATTTTAACCTTGATGTTACTTTCATCGTTTTTAAAGGCACATTTTGTCTCAGAAACGAACACAAAAATTCTTCGGAAAGAGCTATCATGATTTCAATAATTTTAGTGTATGTATGATTTTTATCGCCTCTAGAAAGTTGGGCGGAATGAATGTGCAATAATGTGTCATAAAATATGCAAAATATAAGCAAAGTAGTATTTTGACTTGCATGCAAAATACTTCATCACTATAACTGTAATAATCGACAAAAAATCAAGAGAAGCAAAAGACGGTTCAGCTAAATGACCAATGTTTTATTCTTTGGAAACTATAACCGAACACAAAAATAAAATCCATTTTGATACATAAAAATAAATGCGTTACTGAGGCTTAAGGGGCCTTTTATTCCTTTGCTTGTTATGCATTCTACTATTTTTGAATTCTAAATAACTAAATTATCACAAGACCTTTTTAACTTTATTTCACTTTCCAATGTGTCTACAGATCAGATCTTATGTTTCTGAACTTCAGTCACTTTCTATTTTATGGGTGTTTTGGCTTCATCCTTTATGGCTTCAACACGAAGAAAGGAACTACAACTTCAATTGAATTATTTTGAAATTATTCATCAGTAGAAAAAATGCATCTGCATTGCCTTTATCAATGTATATATTGGTCTAAGTTACTTTATGGAATTTTATTTGACTTTACTTAGTTCGAGATAAATATCTAATGTACCTATATTTAGTCAATAGTATCATCCCCCGAAGGTACATTATAATTTAATCTATCCGCTTGTCATTTCATAGAGAAACAATGTCATGCTGGAGTGAGTTTAATTAGACCCATGAAATTTTAATGAGCCTTCAATATATCTGTCCCTACTGAGATCAAACCCTGATGTTCTTACCGATAATTCCCATGTACAACACAACAAACAAATAAACAAAGTGTGCTTAGTGATATACAATTCCAAGTACAACGGCATTTACTTAAGCAAGAGAACACATCTCCTCTAGCATAAACATACATTGTGGATTAATTCATGTAAAAAATATAACAAAAATACAGAACCACTGATTCTTATAATAAACACTTCAGTGTATTCGAGGCAACAGCGTCTGATATATTAAATTGAATCCAATTTGTGACATTGTAAGTGAAAACCTGAATTAATTATATTTAGGAATTGTTCTATCATATTGTTATCGAAGGTACGGTTGTTTTCTCAGAACCCTGCCCCCATTCCCCTCCCCTCCGTTACTTATCACTAGCATAATTGTTATTACAATGAGGATCAAGTGGGCCAAGTGGGCGACATGCTGGAGGGGGAAGATATAAGTTTAATCTTTATTGTATGCCGTTTGATACTTTAAAAAGGAGGCACACACTAATACGATAGAAGTGATGAGAATTTTAGGCATGCCACGCTGACGGCGTATGATATAATAATTCATAATAAAAATTTAATTGTGCAATTAATAAGCAATTCAAACTGAGAGTTTTTTGTTTGTTTGTTTCTTTTTCAGCGTGAATGTATATCAGTACATGTTGGTCAGGCCGGGTGCCAGATGGGCAACGCCTGTTGGGAGCTGTATTGTCTGGAGCACGGGATTCAGCCCGACGGTCAGATGCCAAGTGATAAAACTATTGGTGGTGGAGATGATTCTTTCAACACGTTCTTCAGTGAAACCGGAGCTGGCAAACATGTTCCTAGAGCCGTCTTTGTGGATCTCGAACCTACAGTCGTTGGTAAGTTGGGTTTTAATGCAAGTCCGAAAAAAGAAGACGGGTTATGGTGTCTGAAAAAGCTAAAGGCATGGTAAAGCAGAAAGAAAGTTGGAAAAGAATATTTCTTACAAAGGCTTTATCTACTGGCTTCTCTATTTTAAAATCATAATATTGATATCCCTTGAACGCAACACGGTCAGTTCTAGGTTGAAATAAGTATATAAGACAAAATCAGTAGAGTAAGACTATAAATTATAAATTCGTTCGGCAGTGTTTTCTTGTACGGAAAATCAGTATTTGAATTCAATTATTTCGATCAAAGATGTTGCATTTTACGACTCAATCAAAAAGTTTTTTTTTCTTATTTCTTTTCTTTTTTTAAGTTTTCATTGATTTAGTTTTGTTTCTTCGAATTTACGGTGCAATATACAATATGTTTCAGATGAAGTTCGAACCGGAACCTACCGCCAGTTATTTCATCCCGAGCAACTCATAACCGGCAAAGAAGATGCGGCCAACAACTATGCTCGTGGTCACTACACCATTGGTAAGGAAATCATCGACCTTGTCTTGGATAGAATACGTAAACTAGCTGACCAATGTACAGGCCTGCAAGGGTTTCTGATCTTCCACTCATTTGGTGGTGGTACTGGATCTGGCTTCACATCCTTGCTAATGGAGAGACTATCTGTTGATTATGGAAAGAAATCTAAGCTTGAGTTTGCAGTTTATCCTGCCCCTCAAATTTCGACAGCTGTCGTGGAGCCTTACAACTCCATCTTGACGACTCATACCACTCTGGAGCACTCCGACTGCGCTTTTATGGTTGATAACGAGGCCATCTATGACATTTGTCGCCGTAACCTTGACATTGAGAGGCCAACATACACCAACTTGAATCGACTGATTGGTCAGATCGTTTCGTCAATCACCGCATCTCTCAGATTTGATGGCGCCCTTAACGTTGACTTGACAGAGTTTCAAACCAACCTTGTACCATATCCACGTATCCACTTTCCATTAGCTACCTACGCACCAGTCATCTCCGCTGAGAAAGCTTATCATGAACAACTCACCGTTGCTGAGGTAACAAATTCTTGTTTTGAACCAGCTAATCAGATGGTTAAATGCGATCCACGTCACGGCAAGTATATGGCTTGTTGTATGTTGTACAGAGGAGATGTTGTCCCAAAAGATGTGAATGCTGCAATCGCTACAATCAAAACTAAGAGAACCATCCAATTTGTTGATTGGTGCCCAACTGGCTTCAAGGTTGGTATCAACTACCAACCGCCAACAGTGGTACCTGGCGGAGATCTTGCAAAGGTTCAACGCGCAGTATGCATGCTGAGTAATACGACCGCTATCGCTGAAGCCTGGGCCCGGCTTGATCACAAGTTTGATTTGATGTACGCTAAGAGAGCGTTTGTTCACTGGTATGTTGGAGAAGGAATGGAGGAAGGAGAGTTCTCTGAGGCCCGTGAGGACTTGGCCGCCCTCGAGAAAGATTACGAGGAGGTTGGAGTAGATTCAGCTGATCCAGAAAATGAAGAAGGGGAAGATGAAGAGGAAGAATATTAAAACATGTAATACTCTGGACATAATATCATATACATGTATCTTAATTGACTGTTTTCTGTTTCTCTGTATTGACACAGTTTTATGTTTAACACTTTAACTATTTGTTCAGAATAAAAGGCAAATTAGATTAAATTTATCTATATTTTAATGTGTTCTTGTTGGCAAGTAAATTTAAATGGCCTCTTTTATATCGCTAAAACTAAAGATTGCATCAGTTGAGCGTATGATATTTGAAAGTGAAAGTGAGATGTTGAAGACATGATTGCATAGTCCATTAAGATTTAAGTGGATCAAAAATGTTAAATAGTTACGGGTTTTTAAACTTATTAGAGTTTCCCAGCCTATAAACAGACTACAGTAAAAGTTTAGATGTATTATCTTGTCATATCGTACGGAATTGTAGGTTATGTTTAAGCTTCTTAGAAAAAAATCTGTATCGACAGGTAAAGCACAAATACTTTACATGGGTATATAAACTAAGTTACATAAAGACATAACGCGAGTCAAATTTATATGTTTTTAAACCAATATTTTGGGTAATGCTTTCGACTTTGTGTGCCTTTGATTTATTTACCCAATAACTATGTGGACATTATTTACTTTAATACTTTATATGTATATTTTTGCGGACTGACCTTTCTTTGTTCTAAAATTGTATCCGTACATTATGCCTTAGTATATGTGTATATGCAATAATCACCGCCCTATTTAGTCACTGGAAAGTACATGTATTGGAAATTAGAGGGGATAACTCCAATAGTAAGTAAAATGTAAAATGAATAACTTGTTTAAGAACTGTCAATTTAAAACAAATCAGTTACAAAACGTTTTTAAAGGACCGTCATTTATTTCAGGCCAATTAAAATGTTATTTACATTGTTGAGAAATGTACATACAAAATATACCAAAAATAAGGTTTTACTTTCTTAAACGTGTTTCCTATTTTCAATATCACTTTTGTTTCTGAAATGGTAAAACATTCAAGTCTTTATAAATATAATTACCTACAAACCGACTGCATAAACGTTTGTGTTAGAACCAGAGTTTCCTTGCCGACACACGACATGTTCATTTAGGAACACGTAATAAAATTTATAAAGTCAAACTTAAAAACAATTAACAAGAACACATAAACAAAAACAGTAAAACAGAAGTTGTCTACTTTCAGTATGATAATAATTTACGAGATAATTTCAATATTTACAAAATGTGTGTTTTTCTTCGCTACAAGAAATTATTATGGCATTGTTATGCAAGAAATGCTGACCAAGTTAGCCAGTATTAGTTCGGCCGAGTATGTTTTTTAAATATACTTCTTGTTTTAGGTTATAATACATTTATGGGTAAATTGTTTATAATGTTTGTTATTGTCATCATATTTCTCATAATTTCAATAAGTTGTACAATACAGCATACATGTTCGTATATGCAAAATTTGCTGAATCCTACAACTTTCGTTAACAATATTTCCCATGGCACAAGATATATTGAATGTATATTCACTGTAAACACTTTCTGACAGGAACCACTGCAAGACGTCCTTAAATACCAGGGTGTACCCAGCTTAGCCGCTTACTTCGAAACTATGCGAACTAACCATGCCTACTCTTATAGGGGGTCTGGTTATTTTCTTTGAATCAGCCCCCCCCCCCCCTTTTACCAGTACTGGTTGGTTCCAGGAAGCGGACTCGAAAGTGATTAATATAAGTTGCAAGAACTTGTTTCGCAATCGAGCTTAAATAAATATGTTTTTTAAACCCCCCCCCCCTTTCGTTTTCACATATTGGGTTATAGTTCCATTTGAACCTACGGATCCCCTCTCAGTCCACTTCCCCGCGTATAATATTAAAACAAGCGTCATTGTACTAGGTCATGGGCAAGAACCCCGGTATCCCAGATAATTAAGGTACATTCTGGACAGTACCCTGGTCAAGAGCAAATAAGTATAAACAATTTTCTATTAGTTCTTACAACCAAAAACTATCAATTTATATCGGCGTGCTCACGCAATAGCTATTAAGTGCGCAAGCTGATGGGTTATTTCACGTGTGTTGAGGTCATAATTATATACTTCACATACATGAAGATGATTATTTAATATATACAAATGTATTCAACTGAATGTGACTTTTTTCAAATCATTTGAATTTTTCAAGAGTAAACGATAATTCTTTAATAAAAAACTTTTCTTTTCATTGCTATAAACTGATGACTAGGATATCCAGTTTGTAAATTATCCTGTTCTAGCAAAATTTATTTTGTCCAGATATCATTGCCATATTGATGTCACTTCCAGTATAATTACTGTTTCCCGTTTCCATTAATAGGCATCTTCTTAAATTGCTCCGTTGACCGATGTTTCTTTAAGTTAGGTCGTGAAGCCATGCGATCGTAGTATGCTTTGAGGGTAGGGAATGTGTCTAGGCAAGTAGGGGACAATATAACATGATCATCTAGTATATCAAACAGGTTGTAATCGGCAAACGATATCTGAAATATGAGCAGACAATTAAAACAAGAGGGCCATGATGGCCCTGAAGTCGCTCACCTGTATATAGGCCCCCAGGGCGGGGCCAGTTTAAACCCCAGGGCTTTTATTTGAACAAACTAGGTAGACACCCATTAGAAGATATTTCACGCTAAACATCTAAGGTCTAGCTCGTTGAGTTTTTAAACAAAAGATTTTTTAAGTTTTAACTACACAAATACACATATAGTTAAAAGCAATGACACCCCTAGGGCGGGGCCAGTTTTGACCCTAGGGCTTTATTTGAACAAACTTTGAAGACACTAACTGGAAGATGTTTTATGCTATATATCTAAACTATAGCTATTTGGGTTTTTTCAAAGAAGAGTTTTGCTATACACATAAATAAAATCAATGACCCCGGGGCAGGGCCAATTTTGACCCGAGGGCTTTTATTTGAAAAAACTTTGTAGACACTCACTAGAAGATGTTTCATGCTTAGTATCTAAACTCTATTTGTTTTTTTTTTCAAAGAATTTTTAATTTTACACATATATTGAAAATCAATGACCCCCGGGGCAGGGCAAATTTTGACCCCAGGGCTCTTATTTGAACAAATTTGGTAAACACCCATTAGAACATGGTTCGTGCTAAATATCTTAGCTCTAGCTCTTTTGGTTCTTTAAAAGAAGATTTTATAAGTTTTTACTATATGCATATAGGGAAAATCAATGACCCCCTGGGGCGGGGCCAATTTTGACCCCAGGGCTTTTATTTGAACAAACTTGATAGACACCTATTATCAGATGATTCATGCTAAATATCTTAGCTCTAGCTCTTTGAGTTCTTTAAAAGAAGATTTTATAAGTTTTTACTATATGCATATAGGGAAAATCAATGACCCTTGGGGCGGGGCCAATTTTGACCCAAGGGCTTTTATTTGAACAAACTTAGTAGACACTCATTAGAACATGTTTCGTGCTAAATATCTTAGCTCTAGCTCTTTGGGTTCTTTAAAAGAAGATTTTATAAGTTTTTACTATATGCATATAGGGAAAATCAATGACCCCCTGGGGCGGGGCCAATTTTGACCCCAGGGCTTTTATTTGAACAAACTTGGTAGACACCCATTAGAACATGGTTCATGCTAAATATCTTAGCTCTAGCTCTTTGGGTTCTTTAAAAGAAGATTTTTTAAGTTTTTACTATATGCATATAGGGAAAATCAATGACCCCAGGGGCGGGGCCAATTTTGACCCCAGGGCTTTTATTTGAACAAACTTGATAGACACTCACTAGAAGATGTTTTATGCCAAATATCTAAGCTCTACCTCTTTGGGTTTTTTAAAAGAAGATATTTTAAGTTTTTTCTATCGGTTGCCATGGCAACCAGAGTTCTGCATGGATTAAAGGTGACCACCAAAGGAACATTCCTGTGAAGTTTGGATGAAATTGGCTCAGTGGTTTATGAGGAGATGTCATTTAAAGTAAAAGTTTACGGACGACGGACGGACGACGGACGGACGGACGCCAGACGAAAAGTGATCACAAAAGCTCACCCTGTCACTTTGTGACAGGTGAGCTAAAAAGCCAGGATGGCTCACCTGAGAAAAGTTTTAACATTATACCTACATTTTTGTTTCCTGAGATGGTGTAAAATTTTCAATTTTCTGACTTCATGTGAGCCGAAAGATCAAAGCAGATGACTCAGTTTTGTAATCCACAAATATTGGCCCATTAATTATTCCTAAAAAATGCTATCATTTATTATTTCTCAGAAACGTTTTATCGTTGGTATCTTGTCACTGTTTCTAGATAAAACATTCATTTGCCATATACATGACCTATCTTTGGTTCTTTTTTTCTGATGGCAATTGCTGTAATTATAGAGAACTGGTATTTTGTATGGAAGTCAAATTACTACTTTAATTGTTTACATTTTGCTACCTTTACAACACAAACATGCATAACTACTGTCTTCATTTCTTCAATTGTTATGCATCAAACATGCTCCTTGTCCATTATTAAAAGATTGTTAAACATAAAAGAATTTGAAAAAAGTATGGATTTCTGAAGCATAATGTGCTTAATCACGACAGTGCTTTGCTTGGCATATATTTTCCATGAAATGGCATAGACATCCAATATGGCGGACAAAAAAGAGCATGGAAATGTATGAAATCGTTTTTCTTCGTATTTCGTTTCTGTCCTACAATCTTAGAAGACGTATGCATGCATCCGGTTTTTATTGTTGGAAAAATAGAAATAAAAAAAGGTTAAAACTCTACAAATGGAAACGATTTCGCGTGGTACTGAAAAAAAAAGTACTATACACGGCAAGGCTATCATCTGCTTTAATTTGTACAACATTGTTTAAAACTATAAACTTATTATATTGCAGTAGAAGCCTACATCAATCAATAAAAAAACAAGTAAAATGGTTTCCTGCGGGGAATATTTTTGATGATATAAAGATTTTTCATTTAACTATCTTCAACATTGTTTGGGTGGGTGGATAAATAAACGTTTGTATCAGGAATATAGTTGACAATAATCGATCAATATAGAAGAAGGTCTTTGGAAACTGGTGACCGTTAATGACCGGAGAAGGTCGAACATAAAACAATTATTTCTTTTTAAGAAAATGATTAAATACGCCTACCATTTTATGAATAATTCCGAGCAAAAAAAAAAAAGCAAACACACAAGTTTTCGCAGAAAACTTCTCTATTTATTATGGCAGATGCCACTACGAATATTTTAATTTTGTAGATTTTCAGTATAAACAATTTATTGTTTGTAACATTTTGAGATACATATTAAAGAAACATTGATAATTTTCAAACACATCATTCAAGTTTTTCCACCTTAAACGGTATTATAATTATAAAAAAAATAAAAATATCACGTAATAGTTTTTTGTTAATTTGGTGTAATTCTGACTTATTCCCTAGAGGTTTATCCGTAACGTACCGGCAAACGGTATTTAGCCAGGTTTTCGAAAAGGTCAATTAACCAATCATGTACGGTTTACAGATCACATGCTCCTCCATGTACCGAAAACAGGTCACGTGCTCCTCCATGCCTCAAAAGTTAAACGCGTACCAATACCCTGCGGTCTCCAGACCGCAGGGAACAAGGCAACAAAAATGATAAAAATTAGATGGGATGACAAATCTTGGCATTTTAAGTGTGATAACAGACTTTTTCAGTTAGTTATGCAAAGTATAACTGTCATACACGAGATGTTCTGATGGATCTATGGCATCACTGAAAGTATCGTAAATAAAACAAATTATTGAATATCAAACTCAAAACAATTATGAAATGAAAACATACCTTTGATGTAATGTATTCGGTTCCCCACTTTTTAAACAGGTTCTAATAAATGAGAAAAAGTTAGTTATTAATCAATCGGATGTAATGATGTTATGTAACAATGTAATACAATAAATTAATATAATGATTAAATAAATACACTAGCTTATGTGTATGTATATGAAAATCAGGTGCAAGATGCAACGTACACCGCTATATCAATGACCAGAGTCAATCAATTTTTAAAAAAAATATTGTTAGTAGGATTTTAGAATAATTTATCCATTTAGGCCCACTCAGCAAACTGTCTTTACATATCGTTTAGAATAGAATATCAAATAAAAATGTGAGTGTGCACCCTACGACACATACTTCCACATATCCAAGCTTCTCGATAGCAGTTTTCACGTACTCATCTTTTGCAGTATCCTGAAAAATAAAACAAACAATAAAAGTAAATATCTCTTTTACACCGAGACGGAGATCCCAGGTTGTTTCATGAATCCATTTTATTATATTTGTTCTTTTAATGTCCTTTTGTCAGAATAGTAGTTCAAATCTTGCAATGATAAATATGAGCCGCCCCATGACAAAACCAACGTTATGCGTTTGCGACTAGCATGGATCCAGACCAGCCTGCGCATCCGCGCAGTCTGATCAGGATCCATGCTGTTCGCTATCAGTTTCTCTACTTGTTATAGGGTTTGTAAGCGAACAGCATGGATCCTGATCAGACTGTGCGGATGCGCATGCTGGTCTGGATCCATGCTGGTCGCAAACGCATAACATAACGTTGGTTTTGTCGTGACGCGGCTCATATACATGTCTTATCGTAATGAGAATGAACAGAATGTTCTTTCAGTTGAAAGTAAAACAATATTACTTACGTAACTTTGATAGATCATTCTAATATAGGGGCCCCTGATGTCCTCCACGTGATCCGTGATCATGTCAACTTTGGCTGCTTCTTTTATATCATCAGGGTACAATCCTGGTATAAGAGAGAAAGTAAACATGTGTGAACTTTTCAATACCACATGCCTTTCCCGTAAAAACAGGGACTGGCAGGTATGCAAATATACATCTTGTCTGACTGCAAAAAGCTCTAGTTTTCTAGTTTGTATTTAAACGTTGCAAGAAAAAAAAGCGGAAAATATGTGAATTGTGTAATCAGAATCATAGATGGAATATGTAACATTATGTAATATAGGGAAGACGAAAATCCATCTTTCAAGATACAATCGACCAAAAATATCACATATTCGTCCGCTCATACCAGTTCAATCAGATATACGTGATTGATATTTCAATTCAAATTTAAAGTATTTTAAAAAAAAGTGAAATCTTCTTTATCGGAAGCTGGCACAGTCTGATTTTGTATAACTACTAGTATTTGTTTTTCTTGCGCATCACCATGAGTTCAATATTTGCCTTAAGACTTGCAAAAGGAACAAGTTGAAGATATCGCTCTAACTCGAACAGCTGACTGGCAAGTGTGACCTTGACCTTCAGCTAACGTGATTACGCAGTGCAACCTAAGCGCAAGTGGCGTGATTATCACTTAAAGGGTATACACACACCTCAAAGGTGAGGTAGCAAGATCAGGGTTATGGTAACCCTATCCACGTGTACGGGGACAGTGGATATTTTAACATTCGATCTTCAAGTGGGACTTTGACTCAGCGCAGTTTCCGTAGCCATACGTTTTGTCTATCACCTGAATGTGATTAACATTTTAACCAAATGTTTGTTAATTAAAAAAAACGTATTAAATTTTTAAAAGCTATTGTACTATAAAACTCTTTCTGTTTATATATATGACAGTAAGAAAATATTTTAACTTGTCGCGTCACCAATCTACAGAAGTATGTTATACGCATTAATGTATGGGCTTGCATAGATTTTATCTAATTAATGATATCTTGACGACATGTGTTGTCACTGTATTCGAGGTCACCGGATAAACCAATACATGCTATTATTTAATATTCAAAATCTCAGAAAAAAAGAAAAGTACAGATCCCAATCGCAAGTTCTCGGCCCTTTCCGTCAAACTTCGGATAATAACTTAGGTTATTATGAATAATAGGCAAGGAGTTCCGATTGGTACATATCCGTGTGACATGAGAAAGCAATGAAACATGGATTATTTGTCTACCATCGTTCGTCACATCGATTGTATAAGCTTTACTGGTAGGAGAAGACCACGAACGCCTGTGAACGCTAGCGGGCACCTGAGCAGATTCACCTTAGGTGCTTGATTTTGTTTCTACCATAAAAAAGTCAACAACTCGAAAGGAAGTATTAAAACCCAAATAAATGAAAGCCAAATGTCGGCGGATGTCGAAGGACTAGTCAAAATGGCTAAGACGGCATGCAAGTTATTTTAGATATACAACACATTATCTTACCATGTTTTCTTCCAAGATACCGAAAAATAGAGCTTGACTGAGCCACTTCAAAGTCGCCATCTTTCAATAAAGGCGATTGACCAAATGGCTGGAAAAAAAAACAGAAAATGTAGGGAAAAAAAGGTATTTTTCAACTATAGTGATAAGTTACAGAGAAAATTGGAAATTGTCAGTCGCGAAAGTTTCTTTTTTTTCTGATATCAGTTTTTCATTCTTACATTGCCTTTCCCTTTATATGTTGAGAAGAATTATCAATAATGCACAATTTTCAGCTTTGTCAATTTAATTTTTTTTATGCTATTTTTATTTTCTAGCAACTTGTAATTGAGGAGATGATTTTCATAACACTGATAGGGTCTTATAGAAAATGGTAGAAAATACTCTCTATCATCCGACGTAAAATCGCTATATCCAATATAAAAAAACGTTATGTAAAAGAGAAAGAGAATTTTAGTAGTCTGGGGTTGATGTAAATAGCCTTTAGCTCTGGAGATTGCCATGTCATGGTGTTCGGGACAGTGGTAAGGGTTAGTATTAGATGGGGGATATTATCTTGTAGAAGAGGAATACCCTAGACTCTAAACGTCTGAGTTCAAGAATGTGGAGCTGAAGAGAATGAACCACAGTCTAGCTTGATCACACGGACTGATCGTCTTAAATAAGATAGAAAACATTAATCATTTATAATACATACCATCTGTGGTTTATATGTTTTGGCCCAGTCCTGTCTAATATTAACTTCTTTAAAGTCAATTCCATTATCCACAAAGAAGTACCTGGTTGCTTGGCCACGCCCTATAGAACGTAAAGAAGTTATTGAATACTTTCAGATTGTGTTACGAGTTCTTATTTAAAACTTAAATGCGAGAGAAATAAAGAAATATTATGTGTTTTCAGTCATTATTAAAAAAAATCTAAAAAAAAAGTATCTATCAAGTAAAGTCTGCCATTACATGTATAATTCTTTACATTGCTTGTTACTTCTAATCGGGTAGCGTCTGTGCGTAAAAAAGCAGTATGTGGTTAGACTTATAAAAAGACATCGCCTGTCCAAAGATTATCTAGATGTCTCTTTGACAAGTATTTTAAGTTGCACCATGGTTTATACATACCTCTGAGGGGAAAATATAACAGTTGATAGTTTGTCACTGAAAAAGAAAAAGTATCAAATATAGATGTTTTATCGTTTCAAAAGACCATCTCTGGAATCAATATATTTTGGAGTTTCCCAGCTAATCCGGGGATACAAACAAACTTTTAAGTTACAACATTGAAAATAAGTGCAAGATGTTGAATATCTGTTGTGGATGGCAGTGCGCTGTGAAGCAATAATTAAAATCAGCTCCTGTTTAACGTTACGCATGAAGAAATAACTCGAGCAGATCTGAACTTCAGTCAGAGTGTATGTATGTAATTAAGAATTCTGCATACATGTAATTTGTTTGTGAATGTGAATTGTGTTTAAAACATACACTTTATTAGTATTACTAAAAGAAAACTTACTTGCTATCACCGTTTCCCTTTAATACACTGCTGTACTCAAAGTGTCTGGGTTGCCTCGTATCATATCAGCGTGTGTGTTTAAATAAGGCCAAACAAATTAAAACAGTGGATAAACGAAATCATTGTACCATATATTGCAAGCCTATGCAATTAAATATGTTTTGCGATGCTTTCAAACACTGTACCTTTAATTAAGGTCGCTTGCCCCTCACTGCCGTGGGTTCAAATCCTGCCAGAAACTTTGAATTCTTTCATGTGAGGAAGCTATCCAACTAGATTACGGAGCGTCAGTGATTCGACTCAAATGCACGTTTGTGTCTGTAATAATGCACGGAGAAACACTTGACGTCTTCATCTATCAGTTAAGCTGAAAAATCGTCATATGACCTTTACAGTGTTTGTGCATATTGCAACCCAACTACAAATGTTTTAACTTGATTCTTTCTTGATCTGTCAGGAAGTAGACTCGTTATACACTGTAGTTATGGTAAAAGTATTACTCAGATTACAATCACAACTTGTACGAGGCCCTGAAATCTTTGAAAATATTTCATGGCTTTATTTGAGATAGATTTCTGCACGAGAAATAATTCCGTTCTGCTGGAACTAATACAATACATGTATATAACAACAACAAAATACGATCAAACGGCACCTTCTCTTCAACTGCTAAGTAGAAATTAGTGAAAAAAGTATAACGTTAGACGCTCTTTTTAAAAAAATGTTTCTGTCTTCTAAACAAGACTTTCGCTAGAGCTAAAAAAAACCACTTTAAATGACATGTTTTCCTTAATCGCTGGAAATCACATGAATGATCTTTAATAAATACATATCTACTAAAATTGTTCCAGTTTGCCGAACAAGATATCCTCCAGAGTTATAGACCTTTTTACGACGCTGTCCATTGTATTGCAAAACCGACCGGATGAAGTATTTTCTCCCGCATGCGCAATCTGCGAAGGGCAAAAGATCATCGCCCTACACAGAAATGTAAATCAGATAAAGAAGATAACCTATTCCAACTACAAGAGAGTTTTGGTCTTGAGAGCAGCTCGAGCCGAAAATTATGGTCGTCCTTCACCTAAAATGAATATCGCCGTATGTTCCCCATGGCGTAAATGTGTGACGTATAAACCACCAAACTTCATCACCACTATGGTTTTAACTTCAATAGTTCCTTTTGTCACGTATTTGAACAATATTAAGCTTATTTGCTCATAATAAGAAATCAAAGCACAGAAGGCGCTGAATTCGTTTGGGTCTCAGAATGTCAGAAAGGTGAAGGTTCTGAGATTATAAACCAATTTGTTTTTGTAAAGTGCCACCAATGCTTTCCAGTGTTTTAACTGTAGTAAATTGGCTATAAGACTAATTGCAACACTGATATTCAATTCAATGCTTATTTGACTTAAACAATTAAAAAAAATGAGTTGCCTTAACTGGGATTTGAACTCCAGACCTCTTGATTCCTAAGCGAGCGTTCAAACCACTCGGCCAGGTTGAAGCTATATGTTATTGGCCTGAAGAAAACCATATTATTCTAAATTCGGGTCTGTAACTCTTATTATTTCGACACTAAACCTGTTGTTTAACACAGATGTAAATAGTCATGGAGCTCACTATAAGCATGTATATCTATAAAGAATAAAACAATATTAGAAATCTTCGACCATTCGGGAACTATTTTGCTTGAAAATTAATGCGCTGTCATTTGACAATCTTTACGCAGTGATCTCCCCTGAATTGTTCGGCGTTAGTGTACATATAAAGGGAAGTAACCGCTTCAAAAAAGCGGACTACTTTCGGCATTTGCAATTAACAGCATCAGGGTCTAAAATTTCGCTACCATTATTTGTTTGGTCTGACGACCCAAACAAATAAAAACCGTATGGAAATCGGAAATTAAGCATGATATAATATCATACTTTAAAACAATTGACATGAATATAAAGCAATGTGCTTTATGTGAATGGAATCTAAAACAATGATAGCAAGTTCTACGAAAAGTAACAAATGTTTGGTAGAAATTTTGTTAATATAGTTACATGTATCTCTAAGATATTTTATAATGAATCGCAACTCTCTCACGCGATAGGTATTACGTGGCCAAAAGAAGTGTATTGCGAGTGCACGGGATAAAATCGCGTGACTATGCGATAAGTATTACCTACGCGTGCGCTCGTGAAAAATATCAGCGGCCAAATGTCAAAACCTATCTCCTATATATGCCGCTGCAGACTTGGTTAAGGTGATCGAGCTAGATTGAGCATGGTTTAGATTTAATTTGAGAACAGCTGCTTTGAAATACTATAATCACAGTAGTAAGGCACTGTAAGCTTATGGTGTGTTCAAATAATATGGACCAAATGCCGCAGGAACTGCAATGTTCTATGCTAAGTTTGACCGTAAACATTTTCTTTTTTCACTAAGTCTTGTAGAATTATGAACAAATTTAGTTGCGAAATTATTAATAAGCATTGCCTTTTTCAAAGTCACCAATTATGTTGCTAGGGTATTTAGTTGTGCATAGATCCTCGCTTTCCTCTTTAGATACTGAAAGCGGGTAACCAAGGGTAATTACAGCGTAAGTGTCCAGAAGTTACACCAATTACGTAATTTGTTGATATGAATATGTAGTTAAATAAAGATGACAATGTGTATATTATCATCAAAAATCGTTGATCTATTTATAATTTGTATTTGGCTCTCGAGAAAATTACTAGTACGGTTCACATGCGGCAATTCCAAACCTCGTTAGATTCTTGCCCGAGTGAAATAGAGAAAATAGAAATCCAGAAATCCATAAAGAAAGTCCAAAACGGCAAAATTTAAAATATTGCAGGCTCAGTTTGATTGAGCATGTTCATGATGCAAACAGAGATCTAGATAACATTATCTAAACTACCGCCCCCCCCCCCCCCCCAGCACAGGTTCAGCAGATGAAAATGGTAAAATTTTGAATTTAGCAACATCCATGCTCCAAATATACATGTCCCAGATTAGAAACTCCTATAATAACTCAATGTACAGCTAGAGACATTTTGCCCAACTTAGAGTATTTATTGAAAGAGTAGGTTACTTTCAATTCTATCATTTATTTCGCAATTACAAACGATTAATAACTTAAGTAACCCAAAGGTGATTTTGTAAAATTGTTTAACTGTAAAGTTCGGGCAATAATTTTAACAAGAAGCGGGGTAGTCTTTTCAATTTTAGGCAGATATATATATATACAATAAAAATTAAAACATTTTCCATTATCAACTGTCAGTAAATCACCATTTTAACAGTCGATATTTTAATATATAGATCTAGTCAAGCTAAATTTGATAAAAAGAGCATAATGTCACTTTAGTTATCGTGGGAAACTTGAGAAATTTATCTTAGAGCTATTTATTCTGAGGCCGATTTAAATTTCCCTGTTGGGTCTGTGTGACTTTTTATGTGACCGATTCACATGTATTTTCCTAGAATATAGTAGACCGATTTCTTATTTTATCTTTATCAAATGCCAATGTGTCATCTTAAACCATTTAACGTTGGCTCATTTCCCGTTTCAAAAACACTAACAATTTTACGTACGTATTCTAAATAAATGGCTATTGTAACGATAACTAAAGATTCTGTTACATCCATGATATTCGTAAGATATTTAGAAACACGGCTGATTAACAAATTATAGAGAGAACATATTCTTGTTCCAGTATCATGTTAATTATGTTATAATTTGTATACATTAGTTATTTTATTTCAAAAGCATTGAAAATAATTGAAGATAAACTAAATAATCATCAAAATTACACTTCAGTAGATATTAGTTCCTTCCCTAGAATTATATCATTTTGTTTCTTGCTCGGTTAATTATCGAACATAAACATTGCTGTGGCGTGAAAATCAAGTGACAACTAAAGTTGTCAAAATGTTGAAGGTAAATTAATAAATATTTTCAATCTTTTGAAGATTATATAGCTCATTCGCCATTTATACGAATAATGTGAATAAAAACAAATTTATTTGTTAACAAGATGACGTGCATGATATAGAGTCAGAAGCAATGTTATTTCTATTTCTTTGATTCATGGGAGGGGGGAATCAAAAAATGCGTTTCTTTGTCATGTTTGCACATTCATGTCTCTAATTTTAATACTTTCACTCTCTGTAGTGCCGATTACAAAATATTACAAGTGCAGATGATTTCTCTTGAATATAGTATTGTTAAGCATGAAATATGATTAGTCATCTGGTTAAATTAGGTCATGTTTTTTAACATAGAAAATAGACAAATAAATTAATTTTTTCCTACAACTTACAAGTAGCCTATATACAAGGGTAAACAAGGTTTATTTTAACAGATTTAACAATATACTTGTTCGATTTTATTTGTAAATGTTTAAGATAGTCCTGCCTGTTTAAACCAAATGAATATATTGACATCAAAATATTATGTGATAATGGATGTAATCAATTCTAAATGATTTATATCCAGTTAAAACAAGATCGGATTTACAATAGTTTTTAAGGCTATAAAAAACAAAGCTTACGCTTTTAATAGCTGTGTCTGTGAAATCCCAAAATCTTACATTCTTTACTTTGGTTAAACACCAAAAGTGTAGTGCTTCAAGTTCAACGCATGCATTTACTTTATTCAACACCAACAGTGCATTAAACTCTGCTTAAGTGAAATTGTCCTCAATATTAAGCATGTCTTAGATGAAAAAGTGATTCAAATGATAGTTAGCTGCTCTGAAATTGGGGAATACAATTTTCCACAGGCAATTATCATTGCCCTGCAATAATGGACCATTCCGGTTTCCACAGGCAATTATCATTGCCCTGCAATAATGGACCATTCCGGTTTTTCGTAGCGGAACATTTAGCCACATCTTTTCCATTCATTGCTAGGTCAACTGCTCACAAACAGTATCACAAACATAACCATGTGTTCTTTTGTGCAAACCAGGTCAACCAGTGACTATGTTTTATCTCAGTGTAGCAATTGGATACCAAGTTAGCCAATTTACATAAAACTGGAAACACTGGAAATGTCAATTGCTCAGGACTTATTACAGTTTGGGCTATGTAAAATCATTACATTTTAGGCTTTTCTTTGTTATTTTAA